TGTTCATACTTATCGCGCTTGAGTCTTTCTGCATCGGTCAAGCCTCTGCGTTGCCTGTTGCAACCGTCGTCAGCTCCACGGCAATTCTCGGGGTCACGCGAAAAAAGCATAGCATGGCAGCGTGCTCTCTTTTCCGCGCGAACGGTTGGATTGACTCCCGTTCCGTTGTTGCGCTCCTTTCCCGCGGCCACCCGACGGAGTCTGTGATCGGCTCTGTCCCTCTCGGCCTCGGCCATCAGGTTTCTCAGACCTCCCTCTGGCATTATTGTTCTGAGTCGGGGCAGCATTTGACTTGGCCCCCGCAGCCAGCTGGGCCGGCGCGGCAGCTTTGGGCTTCTTATGATTAAATGGGCATCCCGGACCTGCGTTCGGCCAGGTCTGGCCCTTGCGCGCGAACTTGCACGTCGTCTCGCCCTTAGTCAAACCACTCTTCATCACATCCGTGGGTTCCCCAAGACGTGCTGCCACTTCTGCAGGAGCGGCTTTGCCGTTGGCATTTCGACGATTGTCATAGCTATTGCCTCCACCTGCGCCCAGTCGCGCCTGCCGGGCACGTTGGTGTAGAATACTCTCATGCATACTGATGTTCCACTCTTCTTTGTCACGCAACAGCATCCCTTCAATCTGAGTCATGAGCCATTCGTAAGACCTTGCGCCTACCCCCAATTTGTCTTTGGGCAAGTCATAAAGTTGGCAAGCGAAATCTAACTTCTTAGGCTTCCTGCAGTGCTCGATGAAGCGTGCATGAATCGAAGCTCTCATCTCATCAGATGGAGGTCGGACACCGTAGAGCTGTAAACATCTGTCCATTCATTATAGAAGTGAGACAGGCCAGCATCTGGCTTATTGGGGCCAATGACTACCTTGAAGATATCACGCGAAATGCGACGTTGGCCTAACTCCGATCTAACAGAACACCAATCGCAAATGGCTCGTACCACGTCACGCCCCGTCAAGAGTCTCTCTTCATTCTGGGCGCCGCACTCCATTCGACTCATCTGTTGGAGGAAGTGCATGCGATGATTGGACAGACTGCGATTCCTGCGCATGTTGGTGAACTTCTCGATCAAATTTGTGGCGATCCTGACGCGAAGACGCTGAAAGCGACCTGGGTTGTTGAGCTGTTCGTCATCCACCGCAGGGCCCATAGCTTCCGTGATCCAACGCTGTGCCGCTTGGATCTCAGGAGATGATCCAGCAATCGCGCGGACTGCGTGCATCTGCCACTCCCGTATGTTTGTAACATCGGGAATATCCATCATTTCGACTTTCTGTTTGTTTCCAACCTGTCTCCACTGATCCAACGGGGTGCTCTCGTCAAGGCCTCCAGGGTCACGTGGCCCTCCTGGGCCCTGAGGTCCGCCACGACCGCCTCCACCGCCTGGGGACCCAGGTCCCCCCGGACTCCCCGGGGGCGGCCTCTCTTGTCGGTCGCGGAAAGCATCGTTAAGTGCCGACAAAATATCAGCACTTGGTGCGACACTGCTGTCATCCCCATCTTTGTCCTGTCCTGCCCCGCCAGGCGGCGTTGCCGCTGGCGCATGGTCTTTGTTTCCGCCAGTCGGCTTAGCCGCTGGCGGTCTCACAGGTCCGCCCTTGGAGAATGGATAATAATTGACAAAAATCATATCATCACTGTTTCCTATGACATTCGCATTAATAGGTAAGCCATTCTCGGAGGTCCTCGGCTTGGCCGGACCTTCGATTGCAGGGCCAGGAACAGTAAAGTTGGGTTGTATGACAGGCCTCACGGGCGTTTCCTGCGAGGCAACAAAGGCATAGCAAATGAATTATAGTTGGGAAATTCCCCCTGCCCCTTCTCATCAAACGGGAAGGGCTTTGCGATTATAGCTTTGAGCTTCATCACTTCTCTCTCTGGTGCAACTGCGCGTGCCAGAGCCGCACCCTTCCCCCGGGCGTTGGCAACTGACCTTTCTGAGCTCAATCTAACCTGCTCCTCAGCTTGCTCCTTCATCCGCTGAATATCAAGTTTATCAGCGCTACATTCATCAAGGAGTTTCTGCTGTCGGGCCCGAAAGTCATGATCAACACTGTGTTTTTGCCACTGCTCGTCCCACTTCTCCTGTTCTGCCGGCAAACTCTTTCTTTGAGTACATGCAGAACACCGTTTGGTGCTCGCGTCGAAGTGATCTTTGCATCCTGGCTGTCCACAAGTGGCGCAATCTCCTACTTTCGGATTGAAGCACATCGAGCAACTCTCTTCATCGCCCCGTTGTGCGGGCTGTGGCTGCGGCGCAGCCTTCGCCTTCAGCATCGGCGGCATCACGCTTACCGCGGTCGTCGAGCCAGACTGGGCCTGCATAGACGTTGCGCCGGACGGCTGGGCCGCCGGCGATGGTCGTCTATTCGCCCCAGCCGGCTTGGCCGGTGGGCGCGTGCTGTCGCTCAACTGCATACGCTGAAGAGATGCTCTGGCGTTCTCATGTAACTTGAGCTCTTCTCGATATTGGTTATTCTGACCAACTATCGTCGCAGCTAGCTACAATATGGGTATTGGCCACTTCCGTCCTGGCAGTTTGAAGTTGATCTTGGAGCTCCTGTCTTTCTGGTACTGCCCTGGCTGTGGCGATCCTTTCTCCTTCTATTCTCGCCGCCGCAACAGCAGCGGATGCGGTCGTGGCATCAACAGACTGACTGGTCGCCGTCACAACGGCCTGTTGATCGGAGGCTATCATCTCAGCATATTGGTTCGCGGCTTCCTGTTCCGCGCGCTGCTTGGCAGCTGCGGTTTGATGGGGCATATTCCGCCAGTTCTTGTTCCCGCTCTCTGACCGCCTGGGCCATTGCGAGTCTCTCAGCCTCGAACGTCTTCCGAACGTCCTCAATCATTACTTCTCGTTCCAGTCGGGCCCCCTCGGCCCTCTGAGCATCACGGGCCCGGATTTCTTGCTGGGTTTTGGCCTCAACATATCTAGCCTGATTTTGCATCGCCTGGAGGAGAAGGCACGAGCCATTGTGCTCTGCCATCGGCATGCAATCTACACACAACCACTGATTGCTACAATTGGGACACATGTCTGAGCAACTTTTACATACTGGGCGCCTACAAGCTCCATTCGGCTTGTGGGCTTTTCCCGGGCACCTGTTCTCCACCTGGGGCGGGCAGTCGGGGTCATAGTTCCAGCATGTCTCACGCATGGATATCGTGATGTTGCTCCTCGATGCGGATCGAGCTCCAGATCAGGGTATCTTGAGCTTTCCCCGGCTCGAAGCATTCGATCTGGGACGCATGTGCGTACTCTCTGGCGGTCTAGCCGTCTCTCGAAGCTCCTCATCCCTTTCGCCTCGCCCAACCAACTCATCCAGCGAAGCCGGGGGGGTGATCATTTCATCATCCTCAACTACGACGGGCATCGACGGTTGCCAATCGCCTGCGGCGACGGCAGTCCCCGATGAAACCCTTCCTGAAGCGGAGAACCATTCAAATCATAATCCTCATTCCTTTGCTTCTTGAGTTGAGGAGCGGGAGTTCGCCCTGGGATCTCCCGGTCATGCTTCGCTTGGGTCGGACATTCCATTTCCACCTCGACCGCCTGGGGCGTCAGGTCACTTATCTCAATTTCCGAATCTGGTACTGCAAATGCTTCCCCGAGGGCTTCCACTTGATCGTAATCAAGTGTATCTTGCCCAGGGGACCACCTCTCGTCTTGGACGGGGTGGTCTGCATCCATTATCGAGGACAAATCTCGGCCAAATGACGCTTGATAGTTGGCATGCTCGATGTCTTCCTCCATGGAATTAATATCGTTTCCATCATCGTACTGTTCGTCACTATCTTGGCCGGTCTGTCAATTCAGAGCTATCGGGATGGGATGGGTCCCTTGTCAGGGATGGTGGGGTACACGCCTCTGGACCCTTCGGCTTATCCCGACCTACTGGCTTGGCCAGCGGCCGGCACGATAGTCCGCGTCACAATCGGGTTGGAGTTTATTGTTCCCGAAGATTCGGCAATCAACGACGAGAAAGCTCCTCGTCTTATCATTGCTGTTGTGCTGTCTCGCCTCGTGGGGTCTGGGGTCTGTTCACGATCGCCGATCGGGATTCGAGAGAGAATCATCTCTTGACAAATATATAATTGATCCCCTGCTCTTTCCCCGAGAGACCCGCGTGGCGACAGAAGAAGAGTTAGGGCGGCCCCTCCCCGGGCCGCCTTCCTGTTGCTCTTGCCCATCATGTTGTACAACTTGTGATACTCGCCCGGCTCTGACGGGCAATTCGGCTGTCTCATCATAGCTCATCCCTGTTGCGACTTGGTCGCGGGTTTCGGTTGATAACCAGTATTTCCTCTGATAATCGGGGTAAGATGACAAAGGAATTAAGGTATCGTGTTGATTTTGCTCAATGGTAGAGGGTACGGGAAGAGACATCGATGAAACTGCAAGTACCGTTAAGCAATTGTACTCAGGAATGGTAAAGGAGGAGGCCGGCCGGCCGACGACCGACGACGCGCGGCGGCCGAGGGCTGGCGCGCTCCTTTTATCTCCTGTAAGCACAAACAGCTGCGGTACGAAGCCGCAGAGTCAAGGTGTGGCAAGGCAGGCAGCGAGAGAGAGGCAAGTGTAAGATGAGGCGGAGAGGAGCATATTTACTCCAGGACGTCCATTGATTCTCTGGTGTGGGAAGGTCACGCTTCCCATCGCAAAAACATCGAAACCCAAGAAACCCAGGGCACCCTGGAGGCAAGCAGGGTGTTTTTTTCGGGCCGGCCGATAGGGGAGGATAGCAAAGGGGGGGGGTGAGAATCAGCTCACGTAGCCGATTTTCCCGGCGCCTCCCGGCGCCGGAGGCGGCCATGTATCGAGGAATGGGCCCCTCGGTGGGGCCGAAACCAGCTGCGTGCAGCAAATTTCGTACCCCCCCCCTTTCCCAGTCCCCCCCTTTCGTCCGGCCCGAACCCTGGAGGCAGGCAGGGTGCTTTTTGGCATGGGTCTCCACTGCATCGTCGGAGCTCCGGGGAGACCAGCGCGGCGCGGGGGCACCGGGTGCGCGCCGACGACGAAGCTGACGACGTTGTGCCAGCCCTGCCTGGCGGACGCGGGCGCCCCGTGAGCAGGACGCGGGGAGGCCTCCGACGGGCGGGCAGGGCGAGGGGCATCGAGGCTACCCCAAAGGGGTGGAAATAGAAATCTCCCGCGGGGGGGGGGGGGATCCCCAACTCCTCCTCGCTCTCTTCAATCGCATCCCCCTTCTCCCCACTCCTCCCTGCTCCCCAGGCCGGAGGCCAATAAACCTGGGCCGGCACGGAAACGGAAAGAGCGCTTCAACAACTTGACCGAAATTACTCACACCACCGTTCGTACTGGGAGCCTTGGCGTTGAGAGCTTGTTACGTCACCCCGCGCTCTTGGGAGCCTTGGTGTTCAGAGATTGTTGCGTTGCCGCCCGTTCCTGAGCCTTGGTTGGGCATTGGTGTCAGGAACTTGTTACGTCATCGCTCCCTGCTGGGAGCCTTGGCCTTATCAGCTTGTTTACGTCACCGTTCGCTCTTGGGAGCTTTGGTGTGAAGAGCATTTTGCGTTAGTACCGATCGCTCTTTATTTGGCTTCTCTGAGCCTTCTTGGGAGTCCTATTGGGGCCCTCTTGGAGTCCTTTTGAGACCTCTTGGGGCTTCTTGGGGGGCTCTGGGGGCCTCCTGGGAGCTTCTTGGGACGAAAGGCTGGAGTTTTCGGTTCATGGTCCCCCTCTTGGGCCGTCTTGGGGCCCTCTTGGGCCGTCTTGGGCGCCTCTTGGGCCGTCTTGGCGCCCTCTTGGGCCGTTCTGGGGGCCTCTTGGGAGCCTCTCGGGCCGTCTTGGGGAGGTCTTGGGGGCCTCTTGGACCGTCTTCAACGCCGTGGAAGCCGAAAAGCCGTGAAAACTAAAAATGTACTTTTCCCATGGGAGATGTTCGCCTCCTGATGGCTTCGTCGGACGCCTCTTGGGGGCCTCTTGGGGCTTCTTTGGGGGCCTCCTGGCAGCGTCTTGGGGAGATAGGCTGGACTTTTCGGTTCGTGGTCCCCCTCTTGGGCCGTCTTGGGGCCCTCTTGGGCCGTCTTGGGCGCCTCTTGGGCTGTCTGGGCGCCCTCTTGGGCAGTTTTGGAAGCCTCTTGGGCCATTTTGGGGCGGTCTTGGGGGCCTCTTGCGCCGTCGTCAACGCCGTGAAAGGCGAAAAGCCGTAGATGCTAAACATCTAAGTTTGCCTCGGGGAAATCGATGGTTTTGGCCTCTTGGGGCCCTCTTGGGACGCCCCTTGGGCGCCTCTTGGGGGCCTCTTGGGGGCCTCTTGGGCCGTCTTGGGCGGTCTGGGGCTCTCTTGGAGCGCTCTTCGGCCGTCTGGAGGGAGAATCCGAAAAGCATACAAAAACCTTAGGGAAAACCACCAACATGGGACCATTAGACCCCCCCTCTGCCCCTCGCCCCCCCCCTGGACCCCCCTTAAGGGCTTCGCCCCAACTCAACGGAACTCACTCGTACCTCGCTCTCTCCGTCACCTGGCCCGGCACAGAAACGGAAAGAGCGCTGCAGCAACAGAGACCGAAATTACTCACACCACCGTTCGTACCGGGAGCCTTGGCGTTGAGAGCTTTTTACGTCACCCCGCGCTCTTGGGAGCCTTGGTGTTCAGAGATTGTTGCGTTGCCGCCCGTTCCTGAGCCTTGGCTGGGCCTTGGTGTCAGGAACTTGTTACGTCACCGCTCTCTGCTGGGAGCCTTGGTCTTATCAGCTTGTGTAAGTCACCGTTCGCTCTTGGGAGCCTTGGTGTGAAGAGCTTTTTGCGTTACCGATCGCTCTTGATTTGGCGTCTCTGGGCCTTCTTGGGGGTCCTATTGGGGCCCTTTTGGAGCCCTTTCGGGGGCCTCTTGGGGGCCTCTTGGGGCTCCTTGGGGGGCTCTGGGGGCCTCCTGGGAGCTTCTTGGGACGAAAGGCTGGAGTTTTCGGTTCGTGGTCCCCCTCTTGGGCCGTCTTGGGGCCCTCTTGGGCCGTCTTGGGCGCCTCTTGGGCCGTCTTGGCGCCCTCTTGGGCCGTTTTGAGGGCCTCTTGGGAGCCTCTCGGGCCGTCTTGGGGCGGTCTTGGGGGCCTCTTAGACCGTCTTCAACGCCGCGAAAGCCGAAAAACCTTATATGCTAAGCATGTACCTTTTTCAATAGAAAACAAATGATTTTCGCCTCCTGGTGGCCTCTTGGGACGCCTCTTGGGGCTTCTTGGGGGGCTCTTGGGGCCTCCTGGGAGCGCCTTGGGGCGATAGGCTAGACTTTTCGGTTCGTGGTCCCCCCCTTGGGGCCGTCTTGGGGCCCTCTGAGGCCGTCTTAGGAGCCTCTTGGGCTGTCTGGAGGCCCTCTTGGGCCGTTTTGGAGGCCTCTTGGGAGCCTCTTGGGCCGTCTTGGGGCGGTCTTGGGGGCCTCTTGGGCCGTTGTCAACGCCGTGAAAGCTGAGAAGCCGCGTATGGTAAAAATACACGCTTTCATCGAGAAAATGATGTTGGCCTCTTGGGGTCCTCTTAGGACGCCCCTTGGGCGCCTCTTGGGTGCCTCTTGGGGGCCTCTTAGGCCGTCTTGGGCTTTCTTGGAGCGCTCTTGGGCCGTCTTGGGGGGGAACCCGAAAAACATGTAAAAACCCTATGGGAAACCCGAAAACGGCCATAAACCCATCCGCTCGCGCTACGCCCCCCCCTGGACCCCTCCCTTAAGGGCTTCGCCCAAAACACAACGTCATCGCTCGTACCTCGCTCTTTCCGTTACCTGGCGCCGGCACGAAAACGGAAAGAGCGCTTCAGAAACAGAAACCGAAATTACTCACACCACCGTTCGTACTGGGAGCCTTGGCGTTGAAAGTTTTTTACGTCACCCCTCGCTCTTGGGAGCCTTGGTGTTCAGAGATTGTTGCGTTGCCGCCCGTTCCTGAGCCTTGGCTGGGCCTTGGTGTCAGGAACTTGTTACGTCACCGCTCTCTGCTGGGAGCCTTGGTCTTATCAGCTTGTGTAAGTCACCGTTCGCTCTTGGGAGCCTTGGTGTGAAGAGCTTTTTGCGTTACCGATCGCTCTTGATTTGGCGTCTCTGGGCCTTCTTGGGGGTCCTATTGGGGCCCTTTTGGAGCCCTTTCGGGGGCCTCTTAGGGGGTTCTTGGGGACTCCTGGGAGCTTCTTTGCGCAAAAGGCTAGACTTTTCTGTTCGTGATCCCTCCTGGGGGCTTCTTGGGGCGAAAGGCTAGACTTGTCGGTTCGTGATCCCCCTCTTGGGGCTGTTTTGGCGCCCTCTTGTGCCGTCTTGGGCGCCTCTGGGGCCGTTTTGGTGCCCTCTTGGGCCGTTTTGGGGGCTTCTTGGGCCGTCTTGGGGCGGTCTTGGGGGCCTCGTGGACCGTCTTCAACACCGTGAAAGCACAAAAGCCGCGTATGCTAAACATGTTTTTTTTCCATGGGAAATCAATTGGTGCCTCTTGGGACGCCTCTTGGGGCTTCTTGGGAGGCTCTTGGGGCCTCCTGGGAGCGTATTGGGGCGAAAGGCTAACTAGACGTTTCGGTTCGTGGTCCCCCTCTTGGGGCCGTTTTGGGGCCCTCTGGGGCCGTTTTGGGCGCCTCTTGGGCCGTCTGGGGGCCCTCCTGGGCCGCTTTAGGGGCCTCTTGGGGGCCTCTTGGGCCGTCTTTCGGCGGTCCTGGGGGCCTCTTGGGCCGTCGCCAACGCCGCGAAAGCCGAAAAACCGTACATACTAAAAATGCTCGTTTCCCTAAGGAAGATCAATGACTTTGGCCTCTTGGGGCCCTCTTGGAACGCCCCTTGGGAGGATCTTTGGGGCCTCATGGGGGCCTCTTGGGCCGTCTTGGGCGGTCTGGGGCTCTCTTGGAGCGCTCTTGGGCCGTCTTTGGGGGGAACCCGAAAAACATGCAAAAACCCGATGGAAAACCCGAGCATGGCCATTACCAACCCTGCACCCGGGCCTCGCCCCTCACCTGGACCCCTCCCTTAAGGGCTTCGCCCCACCTCAACGTCATCACTTGTACCTCGCTTTTTCCGTTACCTGGGCCGGCGCGAGAACGGAACGAGCGTCTCAGAAATTTGCCCGAGATGGCTCATGGCACCCTTCGCTCTTCAGAGCCTTGGTGTGAAAAGCATGTTGCGTCGCCGCTCTCCGTTGGGAGCCCTGGTGTTCAGAGACTTTTCCGTTGCCGCTCGCTCTTGGGAACCTTGGTGCGACGAGCTTTGTACGTCACCGCGTTAACGGGGGAGCCTTGGTGTCAAGAGCTTGTTATGTCACCGCTCGCTGATGGGAACCATGGTGTTTTTGAACGTCTCTTGGGCCTCGCGCGGGTCTTCTTGGGGCCCTTTTGGAGCCATGTGGGGGCCCATTTTGGGCAATCTTGGAGCCCTTTTGGGTCGTCTTGGGGCGTTTTCGAAGCATGTGGCCGTTTTTTTTTTTTTTTTTGTTTTTGGGGGGGGGGCGACCCCAGAGAGCCCCAGTATATTCTTTTGATGATTGAGGGCACTATGCCTCAAGACCCCGTGTCGGGCACTTCAAGCCACCTTCCGCGGCCAGCAGCGGCCCGCCCAGGCTGAGAAGCTTCAGCCGCAACAGCAGTGACACGCACTCGGGGGGAGGAGGAGGAGGAGGAGGAATGAGAGAACTGCACAGCGGCCTGCTGGCTCCACGCACGCGACAGAAAAGGATGGCGACGAGCCGTAACCCGCAGCCGTGCTTCAAAGTGCTCCTCGGGAGTCCCTGGGGTGCCCTTGCGCCTGGCAGAGTGGGCAGATAGGAACGCATCGATGCAGGCAGCAAATAGAACATTAGACGAGCGTGGTGAGGGTGAGAGTAGGAGAGAGGGGAAGAGCCAGGGAAAACCCTCAGGAAACGACGAAGATGCAGGAAGTATGTGTCCAAGCCAGTGATGAAAGAGGTGACGGAGTCGAGGGCAGTGGGCATAGTGAGCAACAGAGTCCAGGTCACGACCATGCGCATGTGGGCACCCCAGGAGGCAGCCTTTCGCTGCCGAATGGAAACGAGTCGAGGTACAGACCGACCTCGATAAGAATCTGAGGACCGAAACAATCATGTACG